ATATCCTTTCAGCTCAAAGCTGACTAGGTCTTCAGAACACCTTGGGGAGCCAGTGACGGGTGAAGTGAACAACAACAATTGTTCTAGAAGCCTGTCAAGCATCGCTTTTCTGCCTGTTGAGTTTGAATTGCTGTAATTAGTTATCTTGCCTGGCAAAGGAGGGTTTGAATTGTTGATAATGAAGTTACAGTGAAGGAAAGGAAGTTTGGGTGGGGTGGGAAAGAGGGCGGTGTGGAAAGATAGGGGGATCTCTCCACGAGCAGACGTGCTAATGGAACCTCTGGTGCTGAGCAGCTTCCAGAGCTGGCTGAATATTCGGTCAAGCATGCTGAGATAAGCTGACCATTTTCAGAAGCAGATGGTCATGTAGCTTGACAGCCTATGGCTTCCCACGTAGCATTTCATTGCTGTGATCAGATAAGACAATGAACATCCTAGTTTCCTTCAAAGTGCATTAGGCAGGACCCTGCTCTCTACTGCATTGCCCTCGGAAGGAGCTCAAAGGTGTAACAATCCCAGGAATACTGCTGCTCTGAACATACTCAGTAGAAGTGTGTGATGGGTGTGGAAAAGCTTTGCAGCATTTGACGGAAGTGCCAAAAGTCACACACCACCTTGACATATTATGGGAGGGATCGAGCAGGATTGAATACTTGAAACAATGTGAAAGTCCTGTGCTAGCTGATCATCCTTACTCCTCCTCTTAGGCAGTCCCTCGAGACCGAGGACGACCCTTTTCCAGTCTGGTGTTGTGGGTCCTGAGGCAACCAAACACTCTGATGCTAGATCCACACATCCTGCCAAAGGTGGAGCAGGTGGTTTTGCTAGAGGGGGTGGGAAGCTGGACTTTTTGCACATTCCTTCTACTGTCTGCACTTTGGCCCTGCTGGAGATGCTCAAAATGGTTGGCAATTTTCCAGATTGGGTGGCTTTGGGAAGAGGATCCCACAAGTTGGTGGGGATATTATATTTTGTCATGGAGGCTTTAGGGACATTCTTGACAGAGTGTGTCAACCTTATAACTGCCTGTGAAGAAACCAAGAGTAGGGAGTTTGTTTTGGAAGTTGAGTCAGGCACATAGACGACGTTGCCTACCCAAAACAGCTGACTGATGGAAACCAGTGCCTGGATACTGGGATATTGGCCTGTCTATCCTGACATTGGATTTTCAGGATCTTGCAGAAGCATCACTGATGATCTTTCTCCAGGGATTGGAGACATTTGCTGTAAATTGCCCATGTCTCTAATGCAGAAAGGAGGGCAGTTAACACTACAGCCCTGTAGACTGAGCTTGGTGCCAGGTTTGAGGCACCTAAGACTCTGCTCCTCAAAGTCCTACTACCAGTTGATTATCCTCTATAACAGCAATTACAGGCTCAAGATACATTCTAAATGAAAATGACCATGTAAACATGTTCTGAATGAGCACCAAATACTGGATCTGCCATGTAGATATACAAATATGAATTAAAGCAAGACCAATTGCCTTTTAAGTGACCATACCAAGACAGTGAAGAACATCTTCATAACCTGGACATTAACTGGATATGTCCACACTGAGGTAAGTGGGCAAAAAAAAAAAAAAAAAAAAAAAGGCCTGTCAACTCAATGGATCACTCTGCCTTCCCTGCTTTTCCTCCACACCTGATTAACAAATCTGGATTTGCTTGGGGCTGGGGGGGGAGGGTGCAGAGAGGAGAGCGGAAAACAAAATAGCATTAGTGGAATTCTATCCTCAAACCATTAAGACTCTCCATTAAACCTACTGACTTGCATAGAACAGAAACAGGCCAGTTGGTCCATGCCAGTGTTGATGCCCCATTCAAATCTCTTCAACAAAATCTGCAGATCCAGCATAACCAGTTATTCCCTTCTCCTAAAGGCTGGGCTTCCCATTACTGCCCCCAACCCCTGCAACAGAAGAGACCAAGCCTGTCAATCTCTTCTGAGATGTATACCTAAATATTATGGTAATGTCCTTGTGAATCTTGTCTGCACCCTCTCGAGTGCCTCTACATACTTTTTGTAAGAGGACAACCAAAATTCCACACAGTATTTCAAGTGCGTTCTAACCAGGGTTCAACACAGATTTCACACAACTTCCCTACTTTTCAGTTCTGTCTCTATAGGACTAAAACCTAATACTTGGCTTCCATTTCTTATGGCCTGGCTAACTTCTGGCACAGTTTTCAGCAATTGATGTCTTTGTACTCTGAGATCCCGGTGCTTCTCTAGACTTGAGCCTGCCAAGTGATAAGTATTATTCTGACCAAGGTACGCTACATCTCCGGTATCTGCATTGAACCTGATTTGCCATGTCCTTGGCCATTCTGCAAGTTTATTAATCTCCTCCTGTAACCTGCTGCAATCCTCCTCAATGTTGACATTTGGTGTTTGTCAACTGCAAGCAAGGAGAGGATATTTCTGATTCCAAAGTCCCTAGATACTTTAATTCCATCCCCCCCATTTTCGTCATAGTGTCTTTGGATCATTTAGCAAGACCTTAATATAACGTCTCTATATATAGATAGGCCTTTTGAAATTGCAGTGCTACCTCAAGGACTGCACTTTAGTGTCAGCCTAGATAATGTGCTCAGGTCTGAGGTGTTTTTTTCAAGAAACTGTTGCTGAGGAAGGAATCAAGTCAGTCAATAGAAATGTAGGAGGCTGAGGATCTACCATTAATCTGTCCACTCAAGCTGATGATTCTGTGTCACCTATTGGCAAACAGAATGGAATAGGAGAGAGGATGGCAGAAGAGGCACCAGAAATAGGGAGGTGAAGGGGGAGGAGGGATTTTTAGGAGGGAGTGTGGTGGGACAGCAAGGTCGGCGGAAGAAAGCAAGGTGAAAGAGAGGCAGAGGGGAAGAGGTGGAACAGAGGGGAGACGAGAGAATGGGAGGAGGGGTTGGATGAAAAGGAGCTTGAGAGAACATCAAGGAGAGAGAAGTAGAATGGAGAGGAGAGGGGACCAAGGAGAGGAATTGTACGCCCAGAGCAAACACTCACAATTGGCAGTGTGATAATGAATAGATTTTTTTTGTGGTGTCACCGAAGGAATAAATATTGGACAAGACACTGGGGATAAAGCCCCAGCTCTTCGTCAAAGTTGTGCCAACTTATCTTTAATGTGCACAAGTGTGGGCAGATGATGCAGTTTAATGATTTCATCTAAAAGCTGGTATCTCAGACATGCAGCCCATTCAGTATGGAACTGGAGTGCATACCTGAGTTTGAAACCCAAATCTTGTCAGAGGCAGAAATGCTACCTCAGCCATAGTTGAGACTCAAGACTCAGAGTCGCTTATGGCACAGAAATGCCAATTGACCCATCGAGATTATATTAAAAATATCACTGTTAAAGTCAGGCTATCAGTTAGAAAGGTGAGGAAAGAAAGAAGCTGTATTTATAAATCACAGTTTTTATGGCTTCAATATAATACATCAAAAAACACTTTACAGCCTGTGAGGCACTTCTGGAAGGTTAGTCACTTTTGTTAAATGCAGGGAACACAGCCAAGGCTGCAACAATTGGCTCTGGTGCCCATGATTAGGAAGGAGTAAAAATAAGTTGGAGTTACTGCTCTGGGCCATGTCCAGTCAGCGCAGTTGGAGAAGCACAGCTTCTGGGTGATAAGCTGATCAAGCTCAGCCTATATGATCTCACGTGGCTGAAGAAGTTGCCAACAGTCACAGGCAAAACTCGCAGACACTGATAACAGACAGTGGCATTGGGTGCCAACAAAAAAAATCAACACCTACAGGGGCATGAAAACTGGCAGGAAAAATAAATAACTGTCAAGCCAGCAGAACGGTTTTATTTTTAAAATGAAGAATTACTCTGACTTCCTTTTTAATTGCACTGATTGCTCAGGCAGGATCTGGACATTAAGTCATACGGAAAGCTTGGTTATTTTAATTACGGTGAACAGCTTCATTCAATGGAACTCTGCGCTCTGGGGACTGCATGTGCCACATTCTATGTCCACAGGCTGATCTGATCGATTGCCTCAATTCAGGTCATGCTAAACTACACAATCTACTGGGACCCTCTGAAGAACAGGCTTGAGCTTGTTTCCCAAATAAGCAATTTGACAAATCTGAACACATGAGAGGACAGGACAGCGCAGAGGGTTTTGAAAAGCTGCTGAAAGAATTCTGCACCTACTATATAATATTTCCACCTGATTAGAGCCACTTATTGAACTGCAATCCCAATCCACAGGCTTTCTGTTGTCATTTACTGGTTTTCACATCAATCGCGTGCCAAAGTATTAGAGACAAGCACTGTGCTGCAGAGGGACACAATGACCCTTTGCTGCCGTATGTGCATCTCAATTCACCTTGTCCCATCATTGGCAGCTGTCCTTTCAGCTGCCTAGGCCCTGAGCTTTGGAATTTCTTCTCTAACTCTCTCTGCCTCAACCCTCTCTCCTCCTGTAAGGTCTATTTTAAAACCCTCATCTTTGAGCAGAGACTTTGGTCACCTGGGCTAATATTGCTTCAAGTGTGTTCAAGGTTCAGTGTCAAATTTTGTCCAAAAGCTCTCTTTTGAACCATCCTGAGATGGCTTATTTTGTTAAATGTGCTACACAAATTCAAGTTGTTGTTGTTGTTGCATTATACTCCACTTGTATCAAGTGGCTCCATGCGTGCCAATTGCAGTGGACATTAATTTACTTCCAATTATCCAGTGAACACATGTATATACACACACACACTTCAAATTTACATAGTGTCTTTAAAGTAACAAAGCATCTCACGAATACATGAGCTTTACCAAACAAAATTGGACAATGTGAAGGCAAGTGAACAAATGCTTGGTTACAGCAGTATATTTTCAGGCACATCTTAGAAAAAGGCGAAGGGAGATGCATGATGGCAATGATACCAATAGTTAGGAGATGGAAATGGGGGGGGCGAGGGCTCCATGGAAATGGGCACCTGACAATCTCCTACTGTAGAGAGTAAAAGGGCTGAGGAATACTGTATGCCACCCTCTCCTTGTGCCCCGGCTAAGCTGGGCTAACATAGCAGAGACAACAAACGATACAGCACAATTTGGACAGATTGGATTATTTTTAAACAGGCAGTGACTAGGAAGTTCGAACGAATGGTCGCTGTATCACGTACCTGCTGAAGGTCAGCTAATGAATACAAGTGCACGTGTTGCAGAATATATTCCCTGGGAAAAATCCTACCGAGAGAAAGACAAGTGAAATGTTAGAAGCCTTATTTTGTTATCACTGAATTGCAAAACTAAACTTGAAGCTTGTAAAATAACAAGCTTTGCCATTGCGGCACTACAAAGTAGTGTCATGAAATTCAATATTCCACTGCTTATTTGAAGTAACAGTTGTTTCTCCATCATGCTCTCATATACCTGAAAGCAGCGAAACTTGTTGGGAGTTGACAGCACAACGAGGTGATGGCTTAGAGATATTGTTGCTGGACTAGTAACACAGAGACTTAGCTAACATTCTGGGGACCTGGTTTCAAATCCCACTGTGGCAGATTGTAGATGGTGAATTCAATAAAAATCTGGAAGGAAATGCCTAATGAGGATCGTGACCATTTTTGACTTAAAAAACATCTGTGCACTTTAGAGAAAGAAACTGCCGTTCTTACCTGTCTGGCCTACAATGTGACTCACAGCAATAAGGTTTGGCTGTTAACTGGTCTGTCTAGCCGTTCAGTTGTATCAACCACTAGAAAGGAAATTAGAAATGCAACTTGATGCACCATGTGGCATTGATCTGTGTCACTGGAAACGATGATGGCAAACACAGTCCTGTTGACCCTGCTTGTCTTCCTTACTAACGTCTGAGGCAAAAATCAGGAGAGGTGCCTCACAGACTGGCCAAACAACAGCCTGCTACCATCATATTCATGGAATCATACTGTAGAAAGTCCCAGGCAATGCCACCACCATCCCTGGTCATGTCCTGTCCCACCAGCAGCACAGAGCCAGGACAGGTGGCAGCACAGTGGTATGCAGTCAGGAGGGAGTTGTCCTAGAATCCTCAACACGGACTCCGGAGCTCATGAGTATCAAGGCACAAGTCAAATGTAGGCAAGGAAACCGCCTACTCATTACCCATACCACCCCCCACCTTAGGTGATGAGTCAATGTTCCTCCATGTACAACAGGACTTGGAGGAAGCACAGAATATACTGTCTCAGTACTTCAATATCCACCACTATGAGTGGCTCAGCTGCAGCACTTCTGATCGAGCTGGTCAAATCCTAAAGGACATTGTTGCTAGATTGGGTCTGCAGCAGGTAGCAAGGGAATCAAAAAGAGGGAAAAATATTCTTGATGGCATCCTCACCAATCTGTCTGCCTTAGATGCATCTGTCCATGGGAGTATTAGTAAGAATGACCACCAATCAGACCCTGCAGAAAAGACTCCATTGCGTTGTGTCACTATTACAGACTTTGAACAGATCCAGCAATTCAAGACAGGGTATCAAACAGTCAGCAGTCAATTCACTCCATGTTATAAAGCGCCTTTCACAACCTCAAGATGTCCCAAAGTGCCTTAGGGCCAATGGCGTACATTTGACACGTGGTCACTGTTGAAATGTGGCAATGCCTGCACCAATATGCAGATGGCAAGATCCCTTTAATCACAATGCGATAACGACCTAAGAATTCTAACTTGTGTGTTGGTTAGGACAAAGGAGGAAATAATCCATTCTCCTTCAATTAGCACAACCAGATCTTTTACATTGAATGAAGGACCAGTCAGATGGATGCATCCCTCAGTACTACACTGGGCATATCAACCTGGATTGTGAAGTGAGAGAGCTTCCAACTGAGATTCAATATGCCTGCTAAAATCTGTTAACTCGGCATAGATCAGAGAGTGAACATCACCTGCTGCAGCTATACACTAACCACATGGATTTTCAAAAGGGATTCAAATGATAAGAAGTGCCTTCTAGAAAGTTGGATGGAGAAACTGAACCCAGAACTATAGTTTCAGATGCATCCCGGCAGTGCAACAAGTGGGGTTACAGGTTGGGGAGTGCGAAGTTTAAAGAAGGAATTAAAATTTGTATAGTATCTTTCACAACTTCAGGCAGCAAGCTTGCGCACAGCACAATAAGCTCCCACAGATAACAATGAGTTGTTGGCAACATCCAGAAAATTCTTTTTAAATGTTTGTTGAGCAATAAATGTTGGCTAGGTCATACAGACCAAGACCCCTGGTCTTTTATACAGACTGGACAGCACAGAAATAAGTTACATGGCCCAACTGGACTTTGAAATAGTGCAATGGAATCACTAATATCTACTTGTGTGTAGATGGGAACCTGGACTAGAAAGTCAGCCTGGATTTTGGACTCAGGCTTCTGGGGTGAGACTTGAATCTGCAAACTTTTGTCTGAGGAGTAAAAGTACTATCCAAAGAGCCAAGGCTGAAAAGTGAGTGCTGGGGCTGTTGACCATTGTGATAAGTTTACTGGCTGGATTTTTTGGACAGGAATCATTTGTAGGAACTTCGCCTTGCAGATACAGAAGCTAATAACAGTACCCCTCACCGTGCACTGATTTTCACAATGTGCAGAGTGCTGTATTGTGCTGTTTGTTGCATCTAGGGAAGCCATCAAGCAGTTCGGTTTCATGTTTCAAATCATTTGTTTAGGACTCAATGCTTCATTTGTATTTAACATTCCCCTTTGAAGGCATGTTACAACGAGGAAGTGGCACTCCTGACATGGACAGCAGTCTCCAAACCTGTCTATTTCTGATCATTTCAATGCCTACATTTTCATGAAATAAATGAGCTGTTGTTGCATTTATCCATTTGGAAGTAAAGCCAATTTTCAACTTTCTACCAACAGAAATTCACATCTCTGGGCCTTTAAAAAAAAGGGTTCAATCATGAAAGTTGTCACCAAATATAGGAAACAGGAGAGACTGGTCTCAGTCTCAAAGTACCACTCTCCAGGGAGCCTACACAGGAATGTAAACTTGCCCTTAAGATTCACAAGCACCTTCTATCCCTGCATCCCCGTGGACAGCTTAAACGACTAAAAGCTACCCCCTCAAATGTGGAACTAATGGACTACCATTAAAACTGCCTAAACATCCCTAGCATTTACAGAGCCCAGCTCTCTTGCATGACGCACTCCGATCAGCTCACCCAAATTGCATAAAAATTGCATTTTAAAATACAACTGATTTCCTGGAGGATTTACCATTAATATATTGTTTCAGTATTAAAACACTTAGTACAGATATAGAGAATGTCTTACAGTGCAAGAAGCTCAGTACACAGTTGCTTATAATCACAGGGCATATAACAGTGAGAGGAAAATGAAAAATCTGGGCTGTAGCCTCGTAGCATTGCAATCCATTCAGGTGGTCTGCGCCTATTTAACATGTATGTGCCAAGCAAGTAGATAGTAGGTGCAAATCACTGCTCATTAGATGCTCATTCACCTCTGTCAGAAGATTTTACATCACACCCACCTCCCTGAAAAAAACAATGTAGGTGTGAAACAAAGGCTCCAGTATAGAGTGTGTTGTGCTGTGCTGTTAGAAATACCATCTTTCAACTGAGAAAGAAAACTGAGAGCCGTGTCTTTTCCCCTCTGGTGGATGTAAATATCCTTTGATAAAAGAACAAAAACAAAGTTGCTGGAAAAGTTCAGCAGGTCTGGCAGCATCTGTGAAGAAAAAAAAAAGAGTTAACGTTTCAGGTCCGGTGACCCTTCCTCAGAACGGAGGACCCGAACACAGCAGGCGAAGAAGCAGAGGAGCAGGAAGGCTGACGTTTTGGGCCTAGACCCTTCTTCAGAAATGGGGGAGGGGAAAGAGGTTCTGAAATAAATAGGGAGAGAGGTGGGGGGAGGCGGATAGAAGTTGGATAGAGGAGAAGATAGGTGGAGAGGAGACAGACAGGTCGAAGAGGCGGGGATGGAGCCAGTAAAGGTGAGTGTAGTGGGGAGTTAGGGAGGGGATAGGTCAGTCCAGAGAGGACAGACAGGTCAAGAGGGCGGAATGAGGCTAGTAGGTAGGAGATGGGGGTGGGACTTCAGGTGGGAGGAAGGACAGGTTAGGGAGGTGGGGACAAGCTGGGCTGGTTTTGGGATGCGGTGGGGGGGAGGGGAGGGGAGATTTTGAAGCTTGTGAAGTCCACATTGATACCGTTGGGCTGCAGGGTTCCCAAGCGGAATATGAGGTGCTATTCCTGCAACCTTCGGGTGGCATTGTTGTGGCACTGCAGGAGGTCCAGGATGGACATGTTGTCCAAAGAATGGGAGGGGGAGTTGAAATGGTTTGCGACTGGGAGGTGCAGTTGTTTATTGCGAACCGCGTGTAGGTGTTCCGCAAAGCAGTCCCCAAGCCTCCGCTTGGTTTCCCCTATATAGAGGAGGCCACAACAGGAACAGCGGATACAGTATACCACATTAGCAGATGTGCAGGTGAACATCTGGTTGATGTGGAAGGTCTTCTTAGGGCCTGGGATGGGGTTGAGGGGGGAGGTGTAGCACTTCCTGCAGTTGCAGGGAAAAGTGCCAGGTGTGGTGGGGATGGAGGGGAGTGTGGAGCGGACAAGGGAGTCTTGGAGAGAGTGATCCCTCCGGAAAGCAGATAAGGGTAGGGAGGGAAAAATGTCTTTGGTGGTGGGGTTGGATTGCAGATGGCGGAAGTGTTGGAGGATGATGCGTTGGATCCGGAGGTTGGTGGGGTGGTACGTGAGGACGAGGGGGG